CTCTCCCACCGCGTGTACGCGCTCTTGTAAAAAGCACTGTGGGTGTGAACAACATGAACCCATGATAAAACGGCACTTGCTACAGCATGATTCCTCATCCCTCCTGGCACAAGAGCCAGAGCCACACTACTAGCATTAGCATTAGCATTAGCATGCTGAGGGGAGGCCCAAGGAACCCGTGAAGGTGCTGCTATCGTCAATGTTCTCGAGGCAAGTGTTCGTAGGAATGTTGTTTCCTGACCAGACTGTGTCGATGGCGTCATTAAACTCGATTTCCGTCGTCCCGCTAAATGCGTTGTCTGGTGCGTGTAGCGCCGAACAGGGAGAGAAAAACGGGGGGAAGATCGGACGTCAGAAGGAGAAAACCGTCGCCAACCAGATGAGCCGCTTATGAGGCACTGATTACATTGCATGTGGAAGTAGGTGACGCCGCTGCCTTGTTGACTTGTTGATTTTCAAGGCGAAAATTGACAGTTACCAACAATTAGCCCTGAACAATAAGTCCTCATGAAGCATGACAATTAGAGGGTGCCTCGCTCAACATGTACACACTACGTACAGTATGCATACGACACGGAACTTAGACGGCAAGGGAGACACAGGACTCGTACTGGTGATCGAAATGTTGTCAGAGTCCTTGATCTTGACGCCGGTCTCGGTGGCTTGGATCGCGTTGTAGTAGAACTCGTTGTCGTAGGGACGGCCACCACCGACCCAAGGCTCGTCGGACCCGTAGTAGGTAAAAATGCCGACTGGAAGGACAACGGTGAGGGTAAAGCAGAAAATACAACGCAGAGTAGGCAACGCAAAAGAAACATGCGGAGAATCCGTGGTCAGGCCCAGCTCCAGAATCTGCACGGAACACGTGGAAACTTGAAACTCCCATCGAGCAAGGTTTGCACAGGAGCAGCAGCAACAAAAAGATGGAAGCCAGAAAATGTGCCGCGGAGCAGATGTGCGTACCAGCGTGGAAGACATCGCCGTCAAGGAAGAACTACAGTATAATATTCCACAAAATCAATGATGCAAACAACCAAAGCAGTGGCGACAACACCACCACAAGACCCACCTCAGCAGGCTGGGGTGAACGAGGCAGCCTGGATGGCGACAGTGGTTGGCGTCGTCACATGGTGCGGCGGCAGTACAGGCGTTCTCATTCAAGCCGCTCTAGAATACATCCATAAGCAGTAGATGGCACATCCCGAACGTGTACACATTAAAGTTCAGAAGAACCCCCTCGTCTCTCGTGTGTTCGTATCCTTCGCATTGCGCCTCGTGTCAAGCACTCACCGTTCCAGATGTTCTTGAAGACGTTGTCGTAAATCTTGTTGTTGGACGACCCCAGGTGGACACGGATGCCGAACTCCCCGCCGTCGACCTGGTTGTCGTGAATTTCACAACCACTCGTCTGTGCCAACAAGCACGACACACATGGGGGCGCAGCAGAAGGCGAAGAAAGTCGGGTATCTCCGTTCAAGAAATATGTATGACTGACAATATGTGCGGACGCCTGTCTCGGCACCAAGAGGCAGACGTCAGTAAGGTTCGCTCGTCGTAGGGATCCTCGGGTCATCGATCGGCAAGATGGCATCATTAATGTGACCATAAGGATGTTCTGCACGTGCCGTTGTATTTCCGCCACACCCCTACGGCTGGCGAACCAACACCCTCCTCGCCGTCGCAGCACCGTAGCGTACATCGTGTGATCAACCACCAGCAGCACTGCCACTGATACATTGTACAAGTACCTCTTGCCCACAGTACAGCAGTACAGTACACACCTCCAACATAGCTATCCCGGCGTCCCCCATGTTGGTGATGGTGTTGCCTGCGAGTCGCCCAGATCGAGCGAAGTCGATGCGGTCATGTCATGACAAAAAGCAACGACCATTGGAGGAGTAGTTGCGGGAGGAAACAACATCTTCAGTCTGGATCTGGAGGCATGACAACAAAATACATACATGTGAATCATTGAGCTTGCGGAGCTAGCACAAGTCGGGACGGATCTTAACTGTNGCGAACCAACACCCTCCTCGCCGTCGCAGCACCGTAGCGTACATCGTGTCATCAACCACCAGCAGCACTGCCACTGACATATTGTACAAGTGCCTCTTGCCCACAGTACAGCAGTACAGTACACACCTCCAACATAGCTATCCCGGCGTCCCCCATGTTGGTGATGGTGTTGCCTGCGAGTCGCCCAGATCGAGCGAAGTCGATGCGGTCATGTCATGACAAAAAGCAACGACCATTGGAGGAGTAGTTGCGGGAGGAAACAACATCTTCAGTCTGGATCTGGAGGCATCACAACAAAATACATACATGTACATCATTGAGCTTGCGGAGCTAGCACAAGTCGGGACGGATCTTAACTCTCCTCGGGAAACAGATAAGGCAAGCACCGCCGAGGAAGCCGAAGGACCACAAGCTCCTGCGAAGCCTTGTTTTTTCTGTGGACCCAGCCGATGTACCCAAACAAGATAACCAGGGCGGCAAACACACCTTGGGGACACACTCCAAGCATCACAAGAGCGTTTTGCAATGCATCGCCGGTCGCCGCCGTTAGTCTCACCAACGTGGACAATTGCGGCGGGATAATTTCGAGGCCGTCTACGCCCACAAAATCGCGTGTGCTCTCCAACCCTAGCCGGATTCAGAAAGGAGGCGAGACTGCTCCCCGCAACGCGTCAATGAGGGTGCCCTTTCTATCAACTGCTGGTGAACCATCAAACAAGAAAGGTGGCGTTTGCCAAAACGCCCGCAACGAACAACGAGAAAGGCATGGATGTGAGTGCTCGTGGTGGTTAAAGCCACTCACCGTAGACCTCGCTGTCGTCGCCGCTGCGGTGGAGGAAGATGCCGGCGGCATCGGCGCCGCCGTCGTAGACTTCGTTATCGTAGATCTTGACGTTGTTGCATCTCTTGGACGCGATGATACCTGTCAATAGCAATGCATGAGACTATTTGGGTTCCACCGTCGCCAGCTGAACTAATGGCTTTATCGCGGCTTGGCTTCCAGGCGCAGCAGAGCCGATGTGTCCATGGAATTTAGGCACTAGCAGTTCTGACGTTGCCTTGTCTGGCGAGCAGGTAAAACGCATCCCAGGATACGTATTGCTGCAAACTATGTGGACATGAAATGAGGCACTCTACTACCCATAGAACAACAGGAGAATTCCCGCCGGGCGGTCGGTGTCCATCCATGGCTTGTTTTAGAACTGCAGGGATGAAAGATCATAAGCTCCCGCTGTTGCAAAGTTATGACTNCGTATTGCTGCAAACTATGTGGACATGAAATGAGGCACTCTACTACCCACAGAACAACAGGAGAACTCCCGCCGGGCGGTTGGTGTCCATCCATGGCTTGTTTTAGAACTGCAGGGATGAAAGATCATAAGCTCCCGCTGTTGCAAAGTTATGACTTAGCCCTGCACTGGCATTGCAAGCAGCAAGGCAATCCGAATCCTCACCATGGTTGACGTTGTTGTACACCTTGTTGCCGGCGATGATGAGGTAGTCGCTGTCATCGTGAGGGTCGAACCCTGAAATAAGAGACGTTGACATTCGGCAAGGAAACAGAGAGTCGAACAAGGCGCGATAGCGGTACGACCGGGTCAGATGGGGTGTACTCATGTAAATCCTTGCCCAAGTCGTGAGACCGTAGACCTCACATCCTTGCAATGCCGGGACGGAGCGGTTTGTCGCGTTTTCGCCGGCTCAGGCAGCGCTTCAGCCCTACAGAGGCCCATCAGAACGTCGCAGTTCCTCGCGCAGTCTTACGTGCGCGACGAGACACTTGACGCGCTAGATTCAGTGAGCACCCTTCGCCATTCTGAGCTACCCTGACACAGGTACGCGTGTCTCGGGGTACCCACCGTTAACTACAGTGAAATTGTGTTTTTAACTGTGTGGGTATGTAAACAATGTACACCGGAGAGACGTGTTGTACTCGCATCAGGACAGCTCGGAATCACGAAGAAAGACGCTTGCGGCGACGGAGAGCTGAAAATTGCTGGGATAATGCTCATGTTGAAGGTGCCACAACGTCACGCCTATGCATACCCTTCCCGGTGTGGACAACGGACCGTCGACACTCGTCTCACGGGCAGGGCCTGCTCAACCCCCCCCGTTTGCCCGTGTGCTGTACTGCTTGCTGCGGTACTGCTGTGTTTGTCACTTTCACGGATGCGCGCGGAAAAAAGTATNCAGGACAGCTCGGAATCACGAAGAAAGACGCTTGCGGCGACGGAGAGCTGAAAATTGCTGGGATAATGCTCATGTTGAAGGTGCCACAACGTCACGCTTATGCATACCCTTCCCGGTGTGGACAACGGACCGTCGACACTCGTCTCACGGGCAGGGCCTGCTCAACCCCCCCCGTTTGCCCGTGTGCTGTACTGCTTGCTGCGGTACTGCTGTATTTGTCACTTTCACGGATGCTCACGGAAAAAAGTCTCACCATACTGATGGTTGTCATGCATAAGGTTGTTGGTCCAGACGCCACCCTGATGACCATAGGAGTACATGCCGTAGTACATGTGGTGGATGTCGGAGCCCTTTATGTCTCCGTAAACGTTCACGTCGTCGAAGACATCGGGGTTGGACCTATCACGTGAAGCAGACGAGAGGCGGCCAGACGGGTAAGAACGTCATTGTTTCGTCTAGGCTTGCAGACAGGCCTCGGCGATCGTACTGTTTGAGTACGTTCTGTTGCAGATGTGGCAGATGTCCCATGACTTGTGCAAAAGAGTTAACGTTAGCGAAAACCTCTGGGATAGACCGCTGGGGGCGCAGAGTAGATATGAAGGGTACAACTCAATACGATACAATACCACCGGCCGGGAAAGTAGGCGTCTACTGTGTATAATGTGTTGTACGCAGGCAGGCTTCTCGGCATGCAATAGGCATAACGCCCGACGGTAGAAAACAGTGGTGCCTCTCATAGAAGGTCATCAACCATCCGGAACGAAGTCAAGAATTAACGATAAAGAGGGGACGAGGAGTTGAGCTACTGTACAATGTCAATGTACACTGTTTTTTCGTTTTGTACTGTTTTTTCGTGTTCTACATACATCGGTGTCAACGGATAGGTGTGTCTCGGTTTTCATGACAGGGTCAAGTTCATCCAAGTCGGCGCGTGAAAACCGCAGGGTCTCCTGTTGGCGTTGCTGCGAGGATTGGGGTAAAACGCCCACAGCCAAAGTACTCGAAGGACCTACATAGACGTTTGCAAGGTTTACACGCCATCGGGCAAGAGGTCTTCTCCGCCTGGTTTGGAGTGTCGACTCACTTTACCGGCAAGAGAGGAAAACCGATCAAACCCTGAGCATTGCCGCCGTACTCATAGTAAGACCGCCTTCACTAATTGTCAATGCAAACCGTTCCCGCCGAAACCGCCGCTTTCTGAAGTTGACGGCGTATTAGTGGACATATGTTACATGCAAGAAGAATCTGCCGTTTATCATAGGCTGAGCTGGCTGTTGTGTGGCGGCGCAGCCCTGCCGAGATCTGAAGGGGGCTGATGAGCAACGAGACAATTCCACAGCCGACTGGCGGTAGGGCACGCGTGAAGGTATATTTTCACTCGACTTGCCGACCAAAGGACACGCA